CCAACCTTAAAGGTGCCTAATTTGAAAATCACTGTTCTAGATCAGTGGTGGCGAACCTATGGCACGGGTGCCAGAGGTGGCACTCAGAGCCCTCTCTGTGGGCACATGCGCCGTCTCCCCAGTCCTAGGCCTTCAGCTGGGTTTTATAAAACCTTTTCGCTTTAGGCCTCTGCCGCTGTGTACAAAAAAAAAAGGTTCAATCAATCAGTCAATTTCAACTTCTCGCGGGGGAAAAAAAATCTCGCAAAGTTGGCATTGATTGATTGAACTTTTTAGTCCCACCCAGTCTGCCATTACCACCGCAGCCACGCCCAGCCAATAGGCCACGCCCACCCAATGGGCCACACCCACCCGGCACCCGACGATGCATAAGTGGGTTTTGGGTTGCAGTTTGGGCACTCGGTCTCTAAAAGGTTCGCCATCACTGTTCTAGGTTATTCAAGTCTATTGCCAATGTTGCTAACACGAGTTAACCGGGCAGGAAATAAATAAATAAATACGGGTTGTCCTCGTTTAACAACTGCCCCGTACAGCAATCTTTCATCCTTATGACGAAAAAGCAACTTTGCCACCAGCCCTTGCAAATTATAGCCTTTGCGAGAAAGCGGAAGTCAGATCGTGAACGTTGTGTGATGTTTCACTCCGGAACCGCGTCGCTTAATGGCCAAGCTACCAGTTTCAACTGGGGTTGCTAAATGAGGGCGACCTATAATTGGCTGGCTTCGTTTAGATTCTGAGCTGCCCTGTGCAATCAGAAGTAATCCGATATTTGGAAACGGAAACGATCCGGTTGTTTGATCTACCTTCTGGATCATCACGATGTAGATTCCCGTCTGCTGGAGGCCTCGGGTGTAGTAGAGCGTGTTCACCCAGCCCAAAAGTAAGGCGAACACCATGGGCAGCACGTATTGTTCCACATCTGCAAAGTACATCACGGATGAGGTCAGGATGGCAAACGCCTGCACAAATCTGCCAGGGCCAGAGAGAGGAAGAGAAGCAGAGAAGAGCAACTGAATAATAATAATAATAATAATAATAATAATAATAATAATAATAATAATAATAATAATAATAATAATAATAATAATAATAATAATAATAATAAAAGTTGGAAGGGACCTTGGAGGTCTTCTAGTCCAACCCCCTGCTCAGGCAGGAAACCCTATACCATTTCAGACAAATGGCTGTCCAGTCTCTTCTTAAAAACTTCCAGTGTTGGAGCATTCACCGCTTCTGGAGGCAAGGAGTTCCACTGATTAATTGCTCTGTCAGGAAGTTTCTCCTTAGTTCTAGGTTGCTTCTCTCCTTAATTAGTTTCCACCCGTTGCTTCTTGTCCTGCCTTCAGGCGCTTTGGAGAATAGCTTGACTCCCTCTTCTTTGGGGCAGCCCCTGAGATACTGGAAGACTGCTATCATGTCCCCACTCATCCTTCTCTTCGTTAAACTAGACATACTCAATTCCAGCAACCGTTCCTTATATGCTTTAGCCTCCAGTCCCCTAATCATCTTTGATGCTCTTCTCTGTACTCTTTCTAGAGTCTCAACATCTTTTTTACATCGCGGTGACCAAAACTGGATGCAGTATTCCAAGTGTGGCCTTACCAAGGCATTGTAAAGTAGTATTAACACTTCACCGAGGTGTGTGCGTGTGTGTGTAACATGATAGCAGTCTTCCAATATTTGAGAGACTGCCACAAAGAAGAGGGGGTCAACTTATTTTCCAAAGGACCAGAAAGCCAGACATGAAACAATGGATGGAAACTAATCAAAGAGAGAAGAAACTGGAATTAAGGAGAAATTTCTTGACAGTGAGGGCAATTAACCAGGGGAACAGCTTGCCTCCAGAAGTTGTGGGTGATCAATCACTGGAAGTTTTAAAGAAGAGATTGGACAACCATTTGGTATAGGGTCTCCTGCCTGAGCAGGGGGTTGGACTAGAAGACCTCTAAGGTCCCTTCCAGCTCTATTCTGAATTTTGGGAATGTAATTGTCAACTCTGCAAACGAATTTGGCTGAAGCCATTCCCACTTTGTCTTTAGTTGCCACAGAATTCGGAAGGGGGGATGTGTACTTTTAAGGTTAGACTAAACAATAAATTGTCCTGTGGGAACCAAGGTCATTGCTGCCTGAATTTTGGTGGGCTGAAGTTTCCGTTAGAAAGCCCGCCAAAGGACTTCCGCTTCCGGATCGCGGCACCTTCAGCTGTACAAAGAGATCTCTCTCTTTGTCGGTTGTTTTCCCTCCTCCGGTAGACCCTTATGCAGGTCTTAAATCGCCCTGGAGGGGTGACTACTGTCGAGGAGGCTCTTGCTCAGCTGCGGTGGAGCGGTGGCTCCCCTTACAGTCCGAGCTAACTCCATAGGGCCGACAGAGAAGAAGATCGGCCAGTAAAATGGCCGATCACTTTGCTGCACCAGCTGAAGTCGGAAAATCATCTAAGCATAATGAACCACCATGGTGAATCCGGGTGAGACCTTTCCTCCCTCTCTCTGTCCTGACTATTTGCCTGTAAAAAGTTTTTGATCACTTCCCTGTCTTAAGAGAGCAGCTTCTGTCTATTTGGGAAAGAAAGTTTTAAAAGAACTAAAATAGTTAAAGTTTTATTGACTACTTGATTTTTATTTTTTTTTGGATACCTAAGGGCCCTGAAAAAAATAAAAAAGAAATGCTATATTTTTTACTTTATCTATTATACTGGAGATACCTGCTTTTGCTTTTTATGTTTCCTGGAAGAGATAAACTTTTATCTACTTGGAAGAAAGAGTTTACAGTCCACTGAGGACATCTAGTGGCAAAAAGTGCCATTACAACTGTATAGGTGGATATTTGTTGACCTTTTTGAAATACAGCCTCTACTAAAAGATCAAAGACTATTCTTGATCAAAGTCTATCTCACCATTGAAATGGAAGAAGCTTATCCACAGCTCGACTATGAACTTATATTGGAAAAGATTATGGAAACTACAAACTATATGAAAGCTTATATCAAATCTTGGAGAAAAATCAGAGATGATACTAGAGAACCACAAATTGACTTTCAACCATCGGTTCAAACTACAGACCAAAGAATAACGGAGGAAGAACAGAGCAACCTTAGAGAGGTTCCCACTGAGCAAGTTATACAACTGAATGAGACAGAGGAACTGCACTTACAATTTAATTATGAACTTACAGTAGAAACTACTGAGCAAATTAATTCTACACAATCCTACATACGACCTATGGAAAATATTGACGATCAAAGAATAACATTAACTGAACTATTTGATCTCCCAAAAATAACAGAGCTTGACATTCAGGTACAAGTTATTGAAAATTGTGACAATGTGGATAATCAACTAGCAACTTTAATAAGGAATAAAATTGACTATACTATTCAAACAATATTGGAAGAAAGAGAAGAGAACTTTGATTATTTTGATGTATTGAGAAATAGCCTTACTCAAATGTTGAGGTTTGATGATGCTGAGGCTTTATCTTGGAAACCGGTTTGGCATAGAAAGAAAGCTAGAGTTAGGTTTAAAAATGTGGTTTAAAATTCCACTGAATGGGTTAAAAAGGTTGTTGACACTTGGATTGTTTTAATAACAAATGAAATAGATGATTCTGTAAAAGGATATTTTTTGTAATAATATTTGGTATTAAAGATGATAAATAGTTGGAGGGGTAAATTTTACTTAATTGATTGATAGAATATATATTTAAAATAGAAATGTAGTTCTTTGGACTGATATCTTTATTTTAACTAAGATAACTATTTTGTAATAGAGGGAGAAGAGGAGATGTTTGCGATAAGAGAAATAATAGTATTAATAAATGATGTATTAGTTTAAGCCAAGGCTTTTCAACCAGTGGTAGGGGTACCACCTGTGGTACATTGGCACCTGGCAGGTGGTATGTGACCATCCTAGAAAAGTGGTAGCGGGGGATGGGAATGAGCCGAACTTGTGGCAGCACCGCACAAGCCTGAGCGAGAGACGGCTGGAGCTGCAGGGCTGTCAGGGCTCAGCGGAAGCACCAGGATCAGCGCCAGGATGCAGCTGGAGCTCGGCACTGATCCTGGTGCTTCTGCAGCATCTCCAGGGTCTTGTGATTTACATTCAGATGCTTGGCAACCGATTCATATTTATGACAGTCACAGTGTCCCAGGGTCATGTGAAGTGACCAAAACCTGCTGCAACCACCCAGCAGACGGGAGGGAATAAAAACCAAACACCCCCCCACCCCACCCCCACTGCCAATCCCCAACAGAAATGCTCACAACAATGAAAACCTCGGACAGGAGGAAGAGCGAGGCCGGGCGGGCAGGCAGGTGTCTTGCTCGGCTGTGGCTTGGGGGGCACTTTTTTCAGTGCCATTGTAACTTCGAACAGTCACTAAGCGAACTGTTGTAAGTCGAGGACTACCTGTACTTTATCACTTTTTTCTTTTTTTTTTGTCATCAAGTTTTTGACACCTTGCTAGGCGACTGGTGGTACTCGGATATTGCCATATCCTAAAAGTAGTACAATGGGTGAAAAGGTTGAAAAGCCCTGCATTAGTAGACGGGTGAAAAGCGGATGATAGACCCTGAGATCATCCAATTAATTTAAGACGTTCTTTAAAAAGTTTCATCTGTCGGAACCATGACACTAGCCACTTATGCGGCCCGGTGGCAGATAGGCTGCAGCCCAGAGGTTGGTGACCCCTGGTTTAGGGAATGAACAGATAAAAGAGGACAAAGCCCACAGCTGTATAACAGGCAGAGAAAAAAACACCGACAGAAGGGTCCCTGTTTTCTCAAACTGTACAAAGCATCAGTGGGAGATTTGTACTTTCAGGCCTGCAAGATTCTGTTAATGCAGCTTTACAATAAAGTAGAATTAGCTCACCTGATCATGTTTTCTGGGTGGTTTACCAAAGGTATAAAACCCCACTGGGTGATTTTGGGCCAATCCCTAGGAGACGGAGAGTTCTAGTCTCACCTGTAAAGCTGGCTGGCTGACCTTGGACCAATCCTTCTCTGTCAGCCCAGCCCACCTCACCGTGTTGTTGTTGTAGGTAAAATAGGAGGAGGAAGGAGTAAAGTATTGTGTATGTTCCCTACCTTGAATTATGTATAAAAATAATGAAGGTGGGATAAAAAGAAAGAGTGCAGAGAAAAGCAACAAAGATGATCAGGGGACTGGAGGCTAAAGCATATAAGGAACGGCTGCTGGAATTGGGTATGTCTAGTTTAACGAAGAGAAGGACGAGGGGGGACATGATAGCAGTGTTCCAATATCTCAGGGGCTGCCCCAAAGAAGAGGGAGTCAAGCTATTCTCCAAAGCCCCTGAAGGCAGGACAAGAAGCAACGGATGGAAACTAACCAAGGAGAGAAGCAACCTGGAACTAAGGAGAAACTTCCTGACAGTTAGAACAATTAACCAGTGGAACAACCTGCCTCAAGAAGCTGTGAGTGCTCCAACATTGGAAGTTTTTAAGAAGAGACTGGACAGCCATTTGTCCGAAATGGTATAGCGTTTCCTGCCTGAGCAAGGGGTTGGACTAGATCAGGGCTTTTCAACCAGTGGTAGGGGTACCACCTGTGGTACATTGGCACCTGGCAGGTGGTACGCGACCATCCTAGAAAAGTGGTAGCGGGGGAGGGGAATGAGCTGAACCGGTGGCAGCACCGCACAAGCCTGAGCGAGAGACGGCTGGAGCTGCAGGGCTGTCGGGGCTCAGCGGAAGCGCCAGGATCAGCGCCAGGCTCCAGCTGGAGCTCAGCACTGATCCTGGCGCTTCTGCTGAGCCCAGAAGAAGCGCCGATCAGCTGGAATGTTGCAGCATCTCCAGGGTCTTGTGATTTACATTCAGATGCTTGGCAACTGATTCATATTTATTTATTTATTTATTTATTTAATTACATTTATATCCCGCCCTTCTCCTTGCGGACTCAGGGCGGCTAACAATTAGATAAAATACTAACATACAATACACCTATTAAAATTAATTAAAAAGAAATATTTAAACTAATCTGATTAAAAGTAATTAAAACCCCTTTAAAATCCCTTAGGCCAGTCCCGCAAGCTGGAACAACCATGTCTTGAGGGCGCGGCGGAAGGAAGGGAGATCAGGGATCACCCTGATCTCTGGGGGCAGTTCGTTCCAGAGGGTGGGAGCTC